TTACAACTAATCTCATTAATCATTAATTATAAAAATATTTCTAATGATTATAATTAATTATTATAATAATAAATATTTACAACTCTCAAAAGGTAATGATGATTATTATCAAAATTATTATTAAAATAAGAGGAAGAATATTGTTTGACATATCGATGGTAATTATCATAATTACTATTCAGTAGTTATTGTTATTTTTAATTTTAATAAATGATTTAAATGATAATTATGTTGATGTTAATTGTTATTTTTTTGTTTTGGGCTTGAAAATGAAATATTATAAATATCATCATGCTTGTTTTTTAAAAAGTTTTTGTTTCTTGATCGAGAGATTATGAATTAATTTTAACTTTCACCTTGTACATAAATTTTATAAAAATACAATTAAATTTCAAAGAATTTTGAGTAATGCAATGCGTTTCTTTCCTATCAGACGATGTTCTAAGTTTTCTGTATTTAGGAAATCAAGTTGTATACAAACAACAAAGAACGAGACATTTTTTTTAGTTTACTCCTCGTGTACGAAATTACTTATTTATCTGTGATACGTAAAAGACCTTACCCAACTTCTTGAAAACCTATTAATTCTAATGTATCAATTGAAGTTGGGTAAGCACCTGATAATTAAATTCTGTCATTAACTTGTGTAACCAAAAAATTTCCGTTTAAATGAGGTTTTAAGCAGCCAAATCTTATTTACAGAGTTAAAATTTTTATTTAAAGCTTTAAATATTAAAATAAAATTTAAAAGTTTAATAATAAAATTAATTCATAAAAAAAAGAATCCCCTTTTTAATGTCTAATTATTTTTATATATTGAAAGAGCAATATGAGTTCTAAAATTTGAAAACTCAATATTTGATATCATCGACAATAAGTGTTTTTTAAAAGTGAAATATTCAAAAATTAATAATTAAAAAAAAATAAACTAAAAGATTAAAATTCGTTAAAAAAAACTTGTAATTTAAAGATTAAAAAGATTGAACTATCAACGTTGTATCGTCTGGTTATGCAAGAATTTTAAATAATGATTGTTCTTAAATATTAATAATAAATTCATTTGTGATGGAATAATTTCATTAGAAAAAATTAGAAAATTTTATTATTTTTTGCATCTAACAAAACTTAATCCAGATGAATTGGTACAAACTCATCTTGTTAACAGCAATGCTTTATTGTTACGATTAAATTTTAATCCAAACAGTACAATCTCTTTAACAATGTTGCCATTCCAAAAATCTTAGCAAAAACACAAATATATCCATTTCGTTTATCGTCTCAAATTATCACTGACGAACTTGCCTTAGGGATTTCATCGCAGATTGATAAAAGAAACTTTATACATTAAAAATAACCCATGTGAATTTGAATTACTTGTTAAAGGAAGTAGAGATGGGTCTGACATTAATACCATTTATAATATTTTCGATAAAATGTTGTTTTTTAAAGTAGAAGGAAATAGAGGAATTCATGGAGGGTATCATTTTCCTTTGGGAAAAAGTATTAACATTCTACTTGGTTATTGGAAAATGGCGACACAAGATGGTTTAGTATTTTCATTGAAAACTGCAAATCAGAAAAATTTCTATTTTATGTTGTTTAATTTTTGCAATTGGTTGTTATCGATCTGAATTACGGTTTTTACTTGGTCGTATATTAATTTAAGGAATAACTGATATTCTTAAAACTAGTAAAATTTGCTATTGCGGAGATAGTAAATGGCTTGCAGGTTTTATAAACTAATTCGTTCTGATCACTTCTAATAAAATTACATTTAGTGTTGAATTTAAAGTTCCCAAAAGAAATAATTTACATTAATAGCTTAAATTATTTAAAATAGAAAGAGCAAATTTCTAAATATTAATATATATTTTATATTTTATTAACAATAATGAACATGCTGCGGTTTATCCCATTTATGTTTAAATAATTAATTAGATAATTTTTAGACATTTAATTTACGATGAAAAAGTTGACCATTTATCAAGGACCTTTCTCAGATCCTATTGATAATGTGTGAAGAAGTTGGTGAAGCACCTGATAATCAAATTTTAAAATTCATTCATTTATTTCACGTAGTCTTTACTTTAAAAAAATTCAAGGAAATCCTTTTAATGGCGACAAAGTCGAAGTAAGTGGAATTTGATAAGTTTTTTTTATAAAAAATATTAATTGTTAATATATATAATAATAATAAATTTATGTCTCAGTAATAAAACTATCGGTCACTGCGGCTATTGTCGTAGGACCACCGATGGGGATCGTAACCTGGGATTCGGACACAATCCGAAAATGATCTTCGGACCGGCTAGAAGTCACAGAGCCCGATACTTCAAAAAAAAAATAATAATAAATTTATATAGATACAATAATTTCATTAGAAAACCTGAAAACTTTTTATTTTTGCTTTCTCAATTGAAACATTTTATAATAAGAAATTAGTGTAATTCAATATTCTTTCATAACAATTATTTAATTAATGTTTCTTTTTTGATTCAAAAATTACAAAATTGGTGGACATTATGAGAGATGACTTATAAATAAATTTTGAATAACTTTTGGTTTTGGAATTGATAATATTTATAATTTTTAAATATAGATTTTATATAAATAAAATTAGGTAATAATTAAATATGCAAATAAAAATACATTGTAAAATAAATAAGATACATGAGTTTCTAACTTACTATTAGATAACACCACCAAACGTAAAGTTTAACTTCAGATTCCTTCCTATAAAAATCAAATGTTCATCATAATTTTTGTTTATTAAGTATTTGACATTTTTGCGTTTAATTACAATTTATTCATAATCTATAAATAAAATGTTCAGAAAATATACATTAATCATAAAGCATTGTTCATATTTATCATTAAGAATACATCATCTATCATTTATTTTCTATTATTTATTCATCATCAGGAAATTTTATTAGGCGAAAATATGCACCAATTTCACCACTTGCGAAAATTTGCGCAAGTTTTTTTGTACGTTTTTTTCCGTATTTTTTGACTTTTCGCGATTTGCGTGGCACAGAGCGATTTTCTACTATGTTGTTAAGATAGATAGAACGGATACGTGTTTAATTCTGTAGCGTCGATATTCGCGGAGATCATACGGTTTAAAGGAAAACATTTGCGGAGATTTTCACGGCAAATTTTTTTTTTTAAACCGTGCGATCTAAACGAATATCGATGCTACAGGAATGAAACACATACCATTTTGTAGCTAAGAACAAGGCAGCTCTATCTATCTTAGAAAGATTTTAGTAGAAAATTGCTCTGTACCTTGCAAATCGCGACACCAGTCGAGAAAAAGGAAAAAAACGCACAAAAAACTCCTCAAGTGGTAAATTTTAGTCTAATAAAATTTACTGATGATTTATTGTAAATAAAAAGTATATCATTTTTGCTGGTTATCTATTAGTTTATACATTATGTAAATTCCACAGACGCTTTATTAATTATTAATTCCCTGTATTATTTTTCGTAATTAAAGAAGTTTTAATTAAAATACATACAGTATTATAAAATCCTATCCTAGTTTTTTAATTTTTAATACATTTTACTTACCTTTCGAGCTTAAATACGCAAATATCTTAGTTGGTTTTTGTTGAGATGATTTTATAATATTAGCCTAATCTGCTAATTTGTACTTTTGTATCTTATATTATCTAGATAAAAGAAATATATAAATGCGCATATATATAACCACTCCACTATCAGTATTGGATGCATTAGATCGTGTCAGTTCATCACCACATCATTACACGCTAAAAAATAAAAATAATAACGCCATGAAATTTAGAAATGGAACTTTAAATTCGTGAAATAAATAACTTTTCCAAAGGATATTTCCTAATTACAATGTTTTCAATTTCACCTTCCTATAGATTCAATTCTTTATATTTAAATAAAGTAATCAATATAAAATGATATACTTAGTAATTTAATATATAGAATCGTTCGAAAATTTAATAAAATAAATTTGTAAAAACGAACCTTTTCGAAAGGAGAAATACCATCATTAGAAATTTCCCAAAGAATGATTCCTAAACTTTAAATATCTATACTTTTATTAAATAATTCTAAATATCTAAAAATCAGTATATTGAATGGGGATAGTAACGACGGTAGTAAGGGATTTTAAATGGTTTATACCAATATCATTTAATTTAATAGTCCCTTTATGAACAAGAATACTTTCAGAAGTCTAATTTGAACGCCAAAAAAAATGTTAAATTATTATAAAATAATTTAAATCATAAATAATTAAAGTAAAAATAAATTTATTCATTAAATTAATTAAACAAACAATTATCAAGTTTTCATGAATGATGTTATTATCACGTAAATTCATTAAATCATTTGTTTTGCCAAATTTAATTTTATATTCCAATCGAATTTTTGGAAATTTGTTTTCAAATATTGATGAAGAAAACCATTATATTCAAGAACAATCATATAATTGTTGGTATTCTCTATAATAATAAATAATTAAATAATTAAATTAAATTAAGAAATAAATTAATAAATTATAAAGTACTGTATAAACGTTATAAAGTCAATATTTATATTATTTGTACCTTGTTTAGTAATGCTATAAAACTTAAGAAAGAATGCTAACATTAATTTCCAATTTTCGATGTCTTTAACTTAATTGACGATCCGCCACTCAACTATAGAAAATGATCGGCAAAACCGTAATGCCGATAGCCTCAAGAGTAAAGTATGTCAATTTCCAACCAAATCTTCTGAAATTTTTATTGAAAAAACCTTGAGATTTGGAGTTTTTTATTCACATATTTAATATAATTTTTACAATGAAAAAATTTTTATAAAAATTCCTAAACATTGCCAATTAACCATAATTTTAGCAAAATCCTGTCAGTATTTTTTGTTTATAAAAGTATTAGCTAGAAGTCTCAAAATTAATATTTAGGCACTTTTAAATACATATTAATAGATTTTTTTTAAAAAAAATAATTCAAAAAATATGGAATATTTCACAAATTAAGATTAAAAGCTTTAAATTTTATAAAATTGTTTAAATTTACGAAAAAATTTTTTTTTTCATTTTCAATGTTAAATAACATGTTAAAATTGAAAATTTCGAGGATTCATCATTAATGCGCCACTCCCTTAAATATGTATACTAATACATATAAAGTACGTATTTATTTGATCATTGTTATTGTTATATAGTTGAGTGGCGGATCGTCAAATAAATAAATAAATAAATAATAAATAAAAATAAATATACTAAAAAATCACGAATAATTTAATTGTAGTATTTTTAGCAGTAATCGATAATTTCCTTCATTTATACAATTATTCAAAGAAATATATTTAAAGCTATTACTTCGACTGCAGTTTGCTGAGAAACTGTTTTTAATATGGGATTTATAATTATTTTTATTAATTAATTTTACATTTCAAATTTTGAATAATGATAAAATGGAATATCGTCATCATATTCTGTGCTAGCTTTAGAACTATTATTGATCGTATTATTATTATTATTATTTGTTTTTCTTTTTTTCTTTGAGCATTTTGAAAAATAAATAAGAATGTTTTACGACAACTATTCCCATATAAAACAATTAAGTAATTTATTTAACTGCACTGATCACGATTTTACACAACTTAATACACAAGCTAAGGAAAGAAATTATTAGTACTTATATATTTAATTAATATATAGATAATTCGGTCGAAAATTCATTAACGAAAAGATTTCGTGATATATAGGTCATAAAAATATTATAAAAATAAGGGGATCTTTCCATTTCTCAAATTAACTATTAATATTTTAAATATTAGAAAAGTTAATTTATTTTCTATATCCATTATCATCTATCATTATCCAACATGATTAAGATAATTTTGAATTGTCAAGAGAATGACGAATAAGAAGATGATGATATGATAATATAATAGTCATATGATCAATTTTTAAAACAATAAAATCTAGATATTTTGGTAAAGGAAAATTATGAAATTATGAAATTATTTATGTATTCATCTATTTTTTTTTGTTTGATTATAGATATACTGTATATATCAATCAGCATTACATATTTATTCGCGTTTCTAAATAATCAAATTATTGTTAGAAGCAACATCAACATTTTTCATATTTTGTAAATTAAAATCTAGAATCTATCAATATATCAGATAAAATATCAACTTGTGACATCACAGATTTGAAATTATTTAATAATAATTAATCCGAAATTATATAATCATAAATACTTTTTTCACTTTCTTAATTTCTTCCTCTTCCTTTCACGAAAATAAAGAAAAATGAATTTTATTCTCTCCATCTTGAATGTGACTAGTTCTTTTTATCTTTAATAACTTTTTATTTTTTCATTTATTTGGATGGTTTTCCACCAATAATAATAATGATAATTGTATTATGTATCCATGCTTGCTTTTACATTAATTTTTATGCTTTTGTTTCATTTTTTTTTATCTAACTTTGTCATAATGTTACCTTATATTAACCATTATCTTTCTTGTGGATATTTAATTACTTTTCATTATTTTCGTTAACTTTAGCTAATTTTTGACTATCTTTTTACTGTGTTTTTTCATCTAACAAATTTTTCACTTGAGCTCTTATTAACTTTTGTTAATTAGATCTTTATGTTAAATTTTCTTTTCTAACTATTATCTTTTTTTTTAGATATTTTATTTATTATCAGCTCTAGTTGATTTTTCGCTTGTTTTTTTATTTTTTTATTTTTTCACCTAGATACTTTTGATACATTATATTAAACAATAAGTTGAATTAATAGATCTTGTAAGCAAATTTTAAAGTTTCTTATTACTTAAAGTGGTTATTTATTCATTTATTTTATAAATAACATGGAATTATAAAATGCTTCTTTTATTATTTCTCATCCACAAATTTTAGGCACAAAATATACCTTAATGAAAAACTATATTATCGCGATTGCGTTTGTTTATTTCAATTTATGCCATTGTAATCGTTTTTGTGATTTCTATTTTATTGATTACAGAATGCAAAATTAAGTAATATCTTCGCTTTGTTTCCAAAACAACTTCTGGTACAAGATGACAAAAGAATATTTATATATGTATCACAGATCTGTAACGCGAAATTTAATTTTATAATCTTTAGGAAATGAGTATATATTTTTTTTTTATTTTTTTATTCGGGTTTTTATACGTAAAGCATATGATAGATTGAGAATTGGTAAAATGATAGTAAGATATTGATTTCGTTGTTTTCATAATAAATTTACTTTTAGTGTCAATTAATGCAATAATAAAATATTATTAATCACTTTTCCCACAAATATTTTTTAGGTTTAAAGCTGATAATAGGTTATTAAATTACCCATAATAAGCTGTATGCAAAGCAGTTAATGATGGATAAACATTTCTATTATAAAATATGAAATCAATAATAAGAAGCTTTCATATTGTCATTTATTCCTATTTTGTCTTTGTGCCATAAATAAGCAATGAATTTTACTTGATTTCAATTTATTTTTTTTTTTAAAAAAAAAAACGAAAAATGACACTAAAAATTTGATTATTGGGTGTTTTACCAACTTCAATTGATGCATTATAATCAATAGGGTCTTCAGGAAGTTGAGTAAAGGTCGTTTGATAAGCGGTCAAAAATTTAAAGTTCATTCCAATATTTAACAATCCCGTTGTCCTTACGTTAAAAGGAAATTCAACGAAACTCCTTTTAATGACGACCATGTCAAAGTATTAACGATATCTGTGACTAACATTTCTATTGAAATGATTATTTTTTTTAAAAAAATATTAAATCTTAGAAAGAAAAATAATAAATATTTTTAATATACATAATTTAGATATATTTATGGTGGATTAATTTCGTTAGAAGAATTAGAAAATTCTGTTGTTTTTGATCTATTAATTGCATCTAATGAATTTGAGCTGGATGAATTGGTCAAACATCTTCAAACTCATCTTGTCAATTATAATTCCCCATGGTTAAGACTGAACTTTTCTCGAGTTTACCAGACAAGTTATCAAGTCAAAAACTTTAAGATTATTCAAGACTTTTGTAATGATATTATTGCTAAACATCCTAACACTATTTTTGAATCCGAAAAATTTCTTACCCTTGCATTAATTTCTATTATTAAACAAGATAATCTACAATTAGAGGAAGTTAAAGTCTGGGAATACGTAATTCAATAGGGAAAAGCTAAAAATTCAACTTTGCCAGCTAATCTCGATGAATGGACAAGTGATAATTTTTCAACATTGAAGAAAACTTTGAAACAAAGTCTTCGCACATTAGATATTTCAGTATTTCTGGTGATGACGTATTAGAAAAACTTTATCCATATCAACAACATTTTGAACCTAAACTTTGGTTAGATATTAATACTAAACTTATTTCACCCAACAAACAAATCTCTTCAACAATATTCCCACCTCGTAAGATCTTAACCAAAACACTTCTAATAAGAAATATTCTAAATCCTTTGTCTTCTAATATTGTTACTGATGAACATGCCCTAGAAATTTCATCTTGGATTGATAAAAAAAAATCCCATGTATTGAATATAATCCATATGAATTTAAATTACTCGTTACAGGATCTAGAGATGGGTTTTGATGTAAAAACTATTTATAATATTTGTGATAAAGTATCTAATTCAGTAATTTTTTTGAAATTAGAAGGAACTGAAGAAATTCTTGGAGGGTATAATCCTATTGAGTGGGATAAAAATAGTAATCATTGGAAAATGACGCAAGACAGTCTTGCATTTTCACTGAAAACCTCAAATATGAAAAATTCCATTTTAAGTAGGTGATAAGATCAAGTTATGCCATTTATAATCGTCCATAGGATCCATCGCTGTTGTATTTTGGTAATGTTTTATGCTTGAAAGATAATTTAAAAACTGAAAAAAATGTAGTTGCATGAATGATTATGAAAGACCAATTCGTTCTAATGAATTTCTGGCATCTGATTGGCTTAATTCTTCTCACAAAACATTATTTTCAGTTGAAGAATATGAAGTTTATAAAATTTCACCAAAAAAATTATTTAAAATAGCACATGTTTTTTTTAGTATAAACCATTTTTAATCTATTAGAATTTATTTTATATTTGAAAGGCGTATAATGGTTAATTAGTTTACTTTTAATATTCTCTTATTTATGCTACTTCGTTTTTTATATCACAATTTAGGACATTATTGTTATTTATTATTTTTTTATCCTTTCATTAATATTACTGTATCGATAATTTCTTGATCCCTGCATTATATTAAAAATAAATAACAATGGATTTATTACATTATATTAAATTTAAATAAATTTAAAAAAAAAAATTTTAATAACAAAGTAAGCAAATAAGCGATTAGGAATTTGACCTATTATATTACATACAAAATGATAAATATTGGGTTTGATAATATTTCATTAAAATGAGACATTAATAGATTTAATCAAGTTTATACCTGGTGGAGCTTTTTGACACCTTTTTCTTTATCAGTTAATTAATTGAATATTTGATATAGGAAATAAATAACAAATAATAAAATAAAAAATAACATCCAAAGTACTAACCAACGTAATAATATGTTAGATTTATTATTATTTTTTAAATTACTTCGTTTAATTCATCTATTATAAAGTTCTACATAAAATTCAAGAAGTATAAGTATAATGTAAATTATAAATGTGTAAAATTTAAAAATGATAAATAAACTTGTCTATCATTGAAAGTCTTGACATAAAATCTTTATTTGCATCATAATCAAATACAATATTTATAAATTTTCTGAAACTAATTTGGTAAGTAAGATTTGAAATATTGTTCGCGTGTGTAGGGAGACACGTTCGTTGAATTCAAATATTGAATAAAAATCATATGATAAAATGAAAAATATTATCTTCACTGAAAATACAAATATTGTATCTGAAAAAATATCTTACAATGTTTAGATTTTGAGTTTCATCAAATAAATAAATAGCATCAAAATAGATAAGCTGTTTATACAGTGTGTTACAAAAATCTTTTGGACATTGTAGCCGGTGCCACCGGCCCGCAAATTGCACGTGATAAGTGATGATTTTGATCATCATGATAATCCTTTTTTGTCTTTGAAAATTGCCGTCTTTTCGAACAATGACCAACTAAAATGTAACCTACAAGTAAAATAACACATGCGAAACTGTAAAACATTTGTAGGATATTGGTGTAAGAAATGTAAGAGAATTACAGCAGAGAACTAATATTCCAAGGTCTACAATTTATTATTACATTTCAAAACTTAAAAAAACTGGGGTTGTTGTGGCTCATATAAAACGCCGTAGACGTCCAAAAAAAATTAACCCGGAAAATTCTAGGGCAATAGCTCAGTATGTAAGAAGGAATCCCTCAGTATTTTCTCGAACTTTAGTAAATAAGTTGTTTAAAAAAAGTGCAAAAGTATCATACTTAACAATTTTGAGACATTTAAAACACTTGGGTATACTGTAACAAAAAATTGCCAAAAGCGACCCCAATGTTTACAGTAATACACAAACAAAAGCGCCCAGAATGGGCACAAGAACACTTTAATGATAGTTGAGGAAAAACCATTATTTTCTGATGAAACAGCCTTTTGACTGTTTAGAATTACAATAAAACATTGGTTCAAGGGAGTACATCCATTTCGCTTTATGCCAAAAGACAGATCAAAAATTTTTTCTTGGTAGATTTTGTACACAAGGCAAAAGTAGCCTTTTTTGTTTAGTGGTTATAGATGGTCTATTTCATGTCAATATTTTAAGACAACACTTACCTGAGATCACAAGGATGTTGAATAATGATTGGAGATTTCAACAGGTCAATGATCCGAAGCATACAAGTTATGTGGCCAAAGAATTTCTTAAATAAAAATTCCCTGAAGTAATTGATTGGCCATCCAATAGTTTCGACCTTAATCCTATTGAAAATCCGTGGAGTATTGTTGAAGGAAGAAGCAGCAACCAAAAAATAGAAAGAAGTAGAGCGATTTATGACGGAGGAATGGAATAATATTTCAAATACTGTTCTTACTAATTTAGTAGGCTCCATGAAGGAACGATGCATACTTATAATAATAATAAAAAAATGGCATTTTAATTTTATTAAATTTGTGATCAAATTAACTGTTTCTGTGAAATAACCTAATAAATTTGTCCAAAGACTTTTGTAACATACTGCATTTTGATTTATTTGACACGAAAATGTGAGAATGCTTAAAAAAAAAAATAATTCTGTTTATTTATGCAAGAATCGGTAGTGATTCACAAAAATTAAGTTTTATTATATCGAGAGGTGCTTTTTGCGGTGAGCATATTACTTTATTCCAAGTATTAAGAATCAAAATAAATAATATAAAATAAAATAAATTAATAAAATGAAATAAAAATATAATATATTATGTCAAAATTATATAATTATCTACTTTATATTGTAAAATTTCAAATTTTAACAATAATAAAAATCAGTGCTACATAATTTTGTTAAAATAATTTATTCATTTGAATTATGACAAATAACAAAAAAATTTGGGAACATACTATATATAAAAAAAATAAAAAAATGCTTATGATTTTTCAATTTATCTTAGTGAAAAAAAATTTTCAATTAAATTATTGAACCGTTGAACAATTCTTTTTATTTCAAAATATAATTTATAAAAAAATAAATTATAATTTATAAAAAAATAAATTATAATTTATAAAAAAATAAAGCTCACGATTATTGAGTGGAATAAAAAATAATAATCAACGGAAAATGAAGCAATATAGTTTTAGATTTTTATGAAAACTTCAAATTTGAAAAATTAAATTTTAAATAAGACAAGGAATTCTATTGGGCGTTTCTATTCATCCATCACATTTAGAATTGTTTTTTGTAATTTATGTTTAAGAGGAAACTTGAAAACCGAGAAAAATATATTCGCTTTGACCAAAATTATGAAAAAACTTCGTTCTGATGAATTTCTAACATCCAAATATTAAGCTTACAAGATTTCACCATTTTACTTTTTTATTATTTATACAACGTTTTTAATCTATTACAATTTATTTTATAACTGTTAGGGGTGACGTTTACTTTGAAAAAATAACTGAATAAAAACGATGAGAATATTAAAACTACGAACTATTATTTTTTTTATTAGTACTATAGTATAGTCAATTGGTGTGAAAACATATGATGACTTGCAATTTCTTGATAACTAGACTATATTAAAAATTAAATTATATATAATTCATTTTTATAATAGAAAGTTTAATTACAAAAATTGTTTTCTCTTTTATCGTTGAATTATCATAAAAATTCTATTATAATTATATTTACTGCATTAGAAATTATCCTTTTTTTTTAAAAAAAAGAAAGATTCCGGGTAGTTTTTAATTAGAATAATTGTTGTCGTATTGAGCTAATTAGTAAAAAGAATCGTAAAAATGTAATTCGTATTAATTCTTACACATTTTCTTATAGTTGTGTAAATTAAAAGTATGAACAATTCCATGACATTTTTTACTTGATTAAAAGAGAAGCTTTTTTTGAATATATATGAAGGAGATAAAATCTATGTAAAAACAATTAATTCCTTTTTTAAATAAAAATACACAGTATAAAAAGGATGTATTTTAAAGATCTTTCATTATCATTATCATATACCGATGATCTTTACCATCTTTACTAAATAATGAATCGAACATATAAAAATAGGTAATTAGAGAGCAAGAGATAGTCAGTTTAAGATAAAATAACTTTTTGGTATGACCTCTCAAGTATGTTATGTATGGAGAAAAAAAATAATCAGTGCACATCAAAATTATACTTTTCTCTATTTATTCCTTTGACAGGATGTCACGTGAAACAAGATAAAAATAAAATACATTTTTACAAGAAAGTTTTAAATTATGTGATAGGTTTCATATGATATTTATTATTTGATGAATTTAATGTAATTTATTTAAACATCAAAAATAAGTATGAGCGAAGAATACGAAGTTCAAAAAAAAAAACAATTTTAAAATTCTATATACAGTATTTAAAATCAAATGCAGATCTAACATATGCATTCTGCATGAGATTTGCATTAGTTTATTATAGATTTCTTTTTTTGTATTTAATCATTTATTAAATATTATTTTTTATGTTTATTATTATGGCCTTTAAGATTGATTATTATGCGTTTAATCTGTTATTATTTTTCCAGGTTACCTAATACTTTATTTGAATTTTTTGAATATTATATAAAGGCTCTATCTCGCCTTCAATTAAAGGATAGCAAATAATTGTTCAACTATAATAGAATTTATGCATTCAATTCTTGGAATTGTCATTTTTTTTGAAATATCAATCATTGTAATAATTGTTAAGAACCGATAGTAATTATTTTCATATTCTAAGATATTTACTTTTTTTTTTTTTTTAAATTTATTTATACTATTTAAGTATGCATGATCGACGACATAGAATATAAATAAAGTTTTAATATATACTGTATATCTAATTATTTACATACAGTACATTGGTTTTCTAAATATAGTTATATCTATGTTTTCATGCAGATATTTAATTATTTAATTAAGTCATTTATAGGATAATTTACTAGTATAATTCTAGAATTTTTTAAAAATACTGTATCATGAATCTAACTAAAAGAATTGTAATGGATCGTCGAGAATTCGCGTTACGTATTTTAATATTTTTGACTTTTAGCGGACTTATATTATGGTCATCAATGGAGGGAATATTGATAGTATTTGGAGTAAAAAAATCTGACCCTCTAGTTTCATTGTCCGTAAAAAATTTTAAAGAAACTGGAATTGGAATTCCTATTTGGAGTAGTTTTATATGTTCCCAAAATCTTACTGGAATTACAGTAGAAACACTTGAACGGGGAGGAAATACAGGGAATGGTACCGAAACAAAGGACAAACCTACTCGACTTCCCGATTCATATATAAGTAAAACTGATACTAATGCATTAACTACGGGAGATTGGACTTTAACGTCAGGAAGTTGGCCATGTTTTATTTTTAATAATTCTAATAAAGATTATAAATTCATACCAGGAATTGTAGATCAACTTATTATAGTTGCATTCGTTAATGGAGAACAATCACAAGCTGATAATGGAATAATATTCGGAGTATACGATGACTTAAGACCCCTTAATGAAGTAGAACCATTTACTGCTGGAATACCTTCAATAAATACTTATACTTTTACTTTAACTGAAAAAGAAGATGTAAATAACAAGGATGAATTGTATTTTACTGTTAATAAACAAAATTATCATTCTACGACTTTTAAAGGTAGTTCTATTGCTGCAAGGTTTCTTTATTCACCCGATACTTATATGGTATATTATCGTTAATTATTATATTATGATTTACATTATTTATTTATTAATTAATTACTATTTATTTCAATTTATTTATAGGTCGTAAGATATATAGAAAAACCACAATACACATTTTATGCTGTAATTAGTGCTACTGGTGGAAATCTTACCTACGCCATAGCATTATGGATAATATTATTTGGTCGAGGAAAATATAAATCTTGGGGATTCATTCATCGATATATTTTACGTAATTCGCCTGATGCTCATAAGAAGGATAATTCCAATCGATTATTAAATATACCATTTTATAGTAATAAAGAAAAAATTGCACTTGATAATGATAAGAATAAAGGGAATAATTTGGAAAGTCAAGTCAATCAAACACCAAATCCTCCACTTTCTTTCATTACATCATCTCAACAACAACAAAATGATTATTATTCAGTTTCAAAATATACAGATTCTGCACTTTTTTTTACCACAAATGAAACACCAACAATTTTTTCCAAAAATGCCACATCAGAAAGATTTGGAAATATTGGTGATGAAAATGACAATATTGATGACGAAATTCGTTGTAGTAGAAATGGCATAGGAAGACTTAGTGAGATCACTGATAGAGAAATTACAAAAAAATTAAATAAAATAGTTGATGAAAAACTTTGGTTCTTAGAACAAACTATAAGCAGACATTATCTTTCCGGATTTAGATTACGTAGATATGATTCAGATCTTAAAAAATTGAAACATAAAAGTAGTTACTATTTTGATAATAATGTAAAGAATAATTTAAAAAATAATTTGGAGAATAATTTAGAAGAAGAAAATAATCAGTTGGATCGAGATGAGATAAAATCATCACCAAGAAGGTCATCATCTTCATCTCATTCTTATCCAGTACAAATCGATCTTGAAAAAGAAAATCCCAAAAACCTTGAAGATCATCTTTAGATCAAATAGCAACTTCTTATTTAATAACTTCTGATCCAATAACTTCCGATCAAACAAATTCTGTTGTTAAGCAATCACAATGAACATATTATAAGGAATGAAATGATAATGATAAATAAATAATACAATCTATTATTCTCTCTCTCTATTTCTCAACAATTCAACAATTTCTCATAATCCTTTTATCACTGTCACTATTCTCACATTTATTTCTATTTATTTTATTTATTTATATTTTACAGAACCCAATACTTTCTAATATAAAACATAATTTCATGTAAAAATAACGAGTTATATATATATATAAATCTATATAAAGATGACTTTGAAAAAAAAAATAGATTATTACGAGATAAAGTCATGATTAGCAAATCTTTTCTAAAGTGTACAATTTAATTGCTTGTAGTTTGTTTATCAGAAGAAGCACATGATAAAACTAGTTCTGAGAAGACATTATTAAACAACAACATATTAATTAGCGATAATTAGTATACAATATCAATATATAAAAAATCTTACTCAAATCAAATATATGTATTCTACAAATTCAATCAATTTATTGCCATTAAAAAAAAAATAATTTGAACAGATTCTACGATTCTGGTTAGCTAATGAAGCATCCATTTCAATTTTGATTTGATACTAAAATTTTGTCACTAAAATAAAATCTTGGATTTTTAACCATTTTGATTTTTTTTTTTTATCTTCGAAATCGGTATTAATTACGATACTTAAATTGAAGTTATTCCTTTTTAACAATAGTTACAAAGTTCATTCAATTATTTTGTATTTTCGTAGTCCTTACTTTAAAAAGAAATTCAACGAATTACTTTCGGTGACGATCATGTAAAGGTATTAAAGCTTCCTAACATTTCTGTCAAAGTATTCAATGTCATTACCAAGTAAGCGCAATTTTATTACTTCATCATAATATTTTTTTTAAGGAATAATAATAATATCTTTTATTTATTATCTTTTTTTAACACATTTATAATTGAATAATTTCGTTGGAAAAAAATTAGAAAATTCAATTATTTTGTACTCTTAATTGCATTTAATGAAGATGAATTAGTCAATAATCTTTAAACTCATCTTGTTTATAATGATGTTTCACCAGACAAGTTATTAATTCAAAAACCTTGAAATTATTTGAGACTTTGTGATGATATTATTGCAAAAAACATCCTACTATTATTATTTTACGAATCTGAACATTTTCATTCACTCCCTGAAAATAAATTAATTTCTATTCTTAAGTGGGGAAAAGTAAAAAAAAAAATCAATTTTAACGATTAATCTCACAGAATGGACGAGTGAAAATTTCTTAACCTTAAAAGAAGCTTTGAAACAATGCCTTCCATATATAAGTTATTTTAAATTTTCTCATGAAGATGTGTTGGATAAGATTTTTCTACACCAGCATATTCTTGAAAATCAATGCTACAAATCTCTTCAACAATATTACCACTTCGTAAGATCTTAACTAAAACACTTCTAATTAAAAATATTAAATACTTTGTCTTATCATTGCTGATGAACACGTCCTAGAAATCTCATCCCGGATTGATAAAAAGCAACCCCATATATTAAAAATATCCATATGACTTTGAGTTACCGCTGTTTACAGGAAGTTGGATTTGATGTTGAAACTATATATAATGGTTGTAATGAAGTATATATATGCAACACCGTTACAACATTAGAGCGAAAGGTACCGAGAAAACTCTTGGAGGATTTGACTCTATTGGTTAATAAGATAGTTAATGTAGTGTTGGTTTTTTGCAATTTTATTACAGACTTCAAATATGAAAAGATCGATTTTAAATAGGGTATTTATGCCGTTTATAATCCTTCAAGGGATTCAAATTTGTGTTTATGGTCTTGCTTTTTACATTTGGATGACAATTTGAAAAATGTTTTTACATGCATGAATGAATTCAGATTATTCGTTATAACAAATATAAAAAGTTGCATAAATAAAAAATATTATGTTATCTTAAGATTATTTTCGACGAAAATTTGTAAATTCGCATTCTTCAACTGAAATAAAGCGTTATTAGAAGGTTTTTTTCCAATCAGATGCTAGAAATTCATCGGTTATTATTTATTTTTTTAATGGTTCGATTTATTTTCTTATTTTTCATTAGCATCGATTATAACTAATTGTGAAAATATACGATAACTTGGTAAATTTTGCGATCGCCAAGTTAAAAATAAATTTAAAAATAAATTAAATAAGGAATTCGATTTTGTATTACTGAGCTTTGAAATACAACTGCATCGAATCCCTTGACTCCTTCATTTTCTTCTTGGTCGTCTCTTCTTTTCTCTTTATTTAGGATAGTTTTAAAAATTAATTTGGGACTTCTCGCAAATGTTGCATTTTCATGGAAAAAAATTGGCTGATTTTCAAAATTTGTATTTTATTTTAAATCGAGAAAATATTTCATATTTGTAAAATTCAATTTTTAGCTTTTATAAAAATCTTAAAATAAAAGATATAAGCGATTCAATAGTTTAAGCCAACTATCGAGTCGATTATTATGTATTGTTTTTTTAACTGATAAATTGATAAAGATATTATTAATAACTTCCGTAAATTTTCGTATAATTTCCGAAAATTTTTTTCCCCTTGGTGGAAATTAGCAACACAGCTTTTAACAAATAGGAATTGTGTTGCACAAAAAAAACTATAAATGTCGATTTTTTTTCAATTCACATTAATTTAACAGTTAAAGAAAATGACTACTAAATTTTATGATCTTACTCAACTTCTTGAAGACCCTATTGATTATAATGTATCAATTGAAGTTGGTGAAGCGCCCAATAGTCAAATCTTTAAAGTTCATTCCTACGTTTTACAATCCCGTTGTCCTTACTTTAAAAAGAAATTCAACGAAGCTCCTTTTAATGACGACCATGTTAAAACATTAACAATGTCTGATATTTCAGTTAGAATATTTGACATTATTATTAAGTAAGTGTTATTTAGTAAATATTTTTTTTATTTTTTTTTTTTATAAAAAAATATTAATTCTTAATATCAATAATAATAATAAATTCTATTTAGATACATCTATGGTGGAATTATTTCATTAGAAAAATTAGAAAATTCTATTATTTTTGACCTCTTAATTACATCTAATGAACTTGAACTGGATGAATTAGTTGAATATCTCCAAACTCATCTCGTTAACAATAATGCTTCATGGTTAAGGTTAAATTTTGCTCGAGTTTACCAAACAAGTTATCAAGTCAAAAACTTCAAGACTATTCAAGACTTTTGTAATGATATTATTGCCAAACATCCTAACACTATTTTTGAATCCGAAAATTTTCTTAACCTTTCCGAAGATGTATTAATTTCTATTATTAAACAAGATGATTTACAATTGGAGGAAAGTAAAATATGGGAATACGTAATTCAGTGGGGTAAAGCAAAAAATTCAATGTTACCAACTAATCTCACGGAATGGACAAGTGACAAATTCTTAACCTTGAAGGAAACTTTGAGAAAATGTCTCACGCACATTAGATATTTCGATATTTCGGGGGAAGATGTGGTAGAAAAAATTTTTCCATATGAACAACTTCTTGCACGTCAACTTTTTTAGACATCAATTCTAAAATTATGGCCCCTAGCAAGCCAATATCTTCAATTGTTTTGCCACCTCGAAAAGTTTTAACTAAAACACTTCCGACTAGAAATGCATCAATTCAGTTATCTTCTCAAATTATAACTGATGAGCATGCTTTAGAGATTTCATCATGGATTGATAAAAAAGAAAACCCATATACCGAAAATAATCCATATGAATTCGAATTGCTTGTTAGAGGATCTAGAGATGGGTTTGATGTTAGTACTATTTATAATATTTGTGATCAAATATCAAATACAATTATTATTTTAAAAGTCGAAGGGACAGGAGAAATTCTTGGAGGGTATAATCCTCTTGAGTGGGATAAAAATAATAATCAATGGAAAACGACGCAAGATAGTTTTGCATTTTCATTGAAAACTGAAAATATGGAAAAATTCCATTTTAAGTAGAGTAAATGAAGGTGATGTTAGTGATGAAATCGGTTATCATTTGAATGGATCATGGTTTTCATTTGGTTATACATTAGTTTTAAGGGGTAATTTAAAAACTAGTAAAAAATGCTATTGCAAATTAGATGAAGATTATAAAAAACCAATTCGTTCAGCTGAGTTTTTGAGTTCAACTATTTATCCACCTCCTTCTGACAAAGTTACATTTAGTGTTGAAGAATATGAAATTTTTAAAGTTACAAATAAGGTAGCGGATTTCTAAATATTATAGGTTTTAAATAAATTTTATAGATTTCTATTTTTATTTGATTTATTTATGCTTAGATAAAAAAAATAAATAATTAAATTGATGGTTACCAATTTTCAAACATTTAATAATTAATTTATTAATTCACGATGAAGCGAAAAAAATTACTATTAAATTTCTTGACCGTTTATGTAACAACTTTACTCGGCCTTTGGAAGACCTACTTGATTAAGATGTATCAATTGAAGCTAGTAAGGCAAAGACCATTTGAAACATTTGCGCAAAGTATTCTTAAAACTTAGAGAACATAGATTATATGCTAAATTAAAAAAGTGTGAATTATTCAAAAACAAAGTTGAATATCTTGGACATTATATATCTGGTGAAGGAATTGCCGTTGATGAAAGGAAAGTAGAAGTAATTAAAAAATGACCTAATCCTACCAACTTAACAGAACTTAGATCATTTTTGGGACTAGCTTCATATTACAGGAAATTTGTAAAGAATTTCTCTGCCATTGCCTCCTCTCTAACTACCTTATTACGAAAGGACATACCATATGAATGGAAACCAGATCAACAGGAAGCTTTTGACAAATTAAAAGAGAAGTTAACATCCGCACCTGTCTTACTTATTCCAGATCAAATCAAACTTTTTACTGTGACTACTGATACCTCCGACACTACCATTGGAGCTGTGCTGAGCCAAGACTATAGTAAAGGTGATTAACTTATTACATTTAAATCTAGAAAATTAAACTCTGCTAAATTAAACTATGTAACCTATGAAAAGGAACTACTGGCAATAGTTCATACCATTAAATTTTGGCATCCCTATCTTGAAAAAAAACTATTTACAATTATTACAGATCACACAACTTTAAAATTTATTAAATCACAATTAAACCTCTTCAGAAGACAAGCTAGGTGACTTGAAGTCTTACAATCATCTAATTTTGATATTAAATACCAACTGGGAAAAACAAATGTGATAGCTGATACATTATCTCGAGTTCCCCAAATTTCAAATATTAATACCCTTAATATCAATCTAACTGACTTTAATTATGACATACTATCACCACCAGAAGTTATTCCTGAAATCAATAAAGAGGAATATGAAGTAGAAACAATTTTGAACAAGAAACTAGTACGTAGAAAACCTTTCTACCTGGTCAAATGGAAAGGTTACCTCTTGCATGATATCATTTGGGAACCTAAGAAAAACCTTACCAATGCCACTGATATAGTAACAGTTTTTGAGAATTCACAAGGATGTTAAATTCTAAGAAGGGAGGAATGTAACAGTTTCAACTACGTCGTAACTTACGTAGTTGACGAGTGACAGCTCTTACCCATTTCATTTATTTTATTTTACTTTTATTTTATTATTTTATTTTCTATTTTATTATTTATATTTTTATCTTTATATTT